GGATAGAAGTTGAGTGCAAAGACGGCAGAACTTCTTCCTGGTTGCAGGCTGGTTATCTGGGGAATATTGCCTAAAGTAAAAATAAATTTCTGACCTGTTTAAGACATTATATTTTGGAGTACTTTGTTTTTTATTTTAAAAGGGTAAAACAAAACAGAATAAAGCAGATCAGAAGAAAACAATGTGAGTGACACAGATTTCACAGCAAGACAACAGGAGATCTACAGAGGCTACCACAATGTCTGTTTTCTTCTAACTAGTTGTCCATATCTTCACACACAATGAATTCATGCAAAACAAAATAGTATAAGAGCGATCAGAACAAAGTAATGAAGGCATGACAGGCCTTCAAAACCAGACAATAGGAAAATCAACAATGGCTGCCATAATGTCTCTTGTTCTCTTTAAGATAGCTGTCCATATCTTTATGTATATTTGTAGCAGCTTATGATAATATAGTCTATTTACTAAAACAGAAGAAAACTATCAGTCTTTTAAGAAAAGAATTTTGTTTACTCTGCCTTGCAACACTCTCCAGGAAAAAAATGTTCAAGTGGAGGCTTATATCAGATACTTTAGACAGCATCCTTGATAACATTTCATAACAAATTCAAGTTTGTACATAGCCATCCTCTGATTTCTTTCCTCTTTTTTTAAGTGTTAAAATCAAAGGTATAACTTAGAAAACCAGCTCAATGAAAGAAAGTTCTTTGAGATTTTCCACTATGCCACTTTACATATAGTCTTTTTTGAAGCAAAGTAAAATTTAATTCAAAGAAAGATCTTAAAACCTATCTGGGTTAATAAAATATACTGTGTTTCCCACGATAAGCTAACCAAAACTCTGCAGTAAACTCTAGTCGTGACAACAGAGTGTATTTTTGATGACACTTCGGAGGTCTGCGGAGTGAGTAGGGAGTGGCATTCTATCAGGAAACAGAGAAACACAGTTAGTGCACTTTTGTGCATTCATTCTAATCTCACGTTACTTGAAGTAGACTAGAAAGCTTCCAGCCTGCCATTAATCAGGGATTTCCTGGTGATGGACTCACACGCAGGTACCAAAGCTTCTGTTCTTCCACCAGAGGCACTGCACTCTATTTTGGGCCCAGAATTAGTGGGCCCCATGCTGCTTTCATCTTTTCAACATAAATCTCCATACGCTGGACAGTAACACAGAAAGCAAAATAGCTCATCTTTGGAGCAGTTGGTACGTGACTACTCAAATAAACCTTATAAAGCTAAGCAATTTTAACAGAATTTAGAGTGCATATTTTAGTACATAAAAAACAAAATTTAATCTATCTATTTTGTTGGTTTATTGCATTATAAAACTCTAAAATGAATTATTCTAATATTAAGAAAAATATACTAGAGATTCTGCTCATGGTTACTAGCAGCCTCCAGTTCCAGACTGTAGCCAGACATAGCTGGTTTAAGCTGGACTATCTTGAAAACATGTGTTACTAGGATAACTGCTTTGTCCATAGAATTCTGTACTATATTATAGATTCTAATTTCCACAACCAAACCTTCCGGATATCAGAATATGTTGACTTGTTCTGTGGTGTTATTTGGTTTTAACATTTTAAATATACAGATTATCTGCTAGTGATGTCAATTTTGATTTTTGATTTTAGCCTAACATTGAGTTGCATATTTTGGTTGCATAGTTTCCTGATTATTGGCTTCTTTGGGCTTTTATTGCCTGATGACTCTAAAATTACAGCCAACGACTCTTTGTTTTCTATGTTTTGCATAGCAGAAGTGCACCTACGTACTCTCCTCGGTTCCTGTGAACTGAAGAAGGTGGATACATAACTGCACTCCTGCCACTTGTGTGTGTGTGTGTGTGTGTGTGTGTGTATTAAATTTGGAACATAAGAGTGAGGATAATTTTTCTTTTCTTCACGGTACATTTATTTTTGAAAGACAGTCACAGATTGCACATATTCAGAAAAATAACTTTTAAAATAACCCTCTCAAACCTACAAGAACTTTATAACACAGAAATTAGGCTAACATCACTTGAATTCAGTGGCCTGACTAGCTTTAGCACCTTTGAAGTATGACATGGAGGCATTCTATGTTTTCTGATGTGAGCAAACATTACGCACATGTTCTTGCTTTCTTGTGCATAAAAAAACCTCCCTAAATGTGGCTCAGTCAAGCCTTATGATCTAATTTCCAGCTTAGCAGAAATATACAGACTAGGAGACTAAGTTACAATACTCTTGTAGGAAGCAATGTAGGATTATTCTATAGAACACAGTACCTATACAGTATGCATTTCCTCAATAGAAAATAAAAACACAAAAGAAACACAAAGAAATACAAAAAAGGAAGGTAATGTAAGTTTACAAGGTCTTATGAGTTAACAGTCAAATGCAACGTGTGAACCTTATTCAGAATTTCATTCAAGTAAACCAAGAATAGTGATTTTTTAAAGTAATTTTGGGAAAATCTATCAAGTGGGAATTAGATTTACATCAGGAAATTTATGTGAAATGTTGATTTGGAAAGAAAAAGAAAGTACAAACAAAAAGTATTAGTCAGCCTGGAACTGTTCACCTAATTAAACACTTTCCAGAGGAAGCATGAAATAAGTTCAGTCAACTAACCTTCCCTACTCTACTGCATCATGGCGTTTGAGTGCAAGTGAAGAACATGAGAAGATTTAAGGGAATTTCCTTTGACATCAGATGGATGTGATATAGTCTGGCAGGTTCTGTCCTTCTATAGTTCCTGCAGGGAAAATAAAATCTAAATTTTATAGACACTACACTAACTATTACTGTGATGTACAGGAAACAGTTTCCAAAGTGGTAGCTAACATCCAAAACACCAGAGTGAAAACCCACACAGGTAAATACAATAACATGGCAAATAAAAACTGCAAACAGAATCGTGTCACCTTAGACGTGGTGGCCTTAAGACAGAAGATGATACAATAGTTTTAGTTAGTATCAGTCTGCCTGAATTCCAGCTGTCAACTAAGATTTCGGACTGCGGTAAAACCTGCCTTTGTTAGGAGAGCTGAGAGCTTAACTTAACCTGTGCCCTGTGGCGGGGCATAGACCACCAGGAAGCAGTTAGGAGGACAGTCCCAGGACGGCAAGGATGATGCTGTTTTGAAAATGTGTACGAAATATCCAGAGCAGAGTCAGGCAAATAGGAGGTATGCAATCCTGTGGGTTAAATTTTAAAATGTGTAACATAACTGGAACATAAAAACCGGAAACCATAGGAGGTTGACTGGGCTTTTCAGGTCCCACTTAACAAAGAGACACAAAGAGGAGTTCGGAGGATTCCACAGCTCAGGTAGGGAGCGTTGCCCTGGACAGCCTTTCAGGTAGGAGCCTGGGACCGGGTCGGTGGAGGGAATGGGAAGCAGTGGAGGTCAGGACTGTGCATGCTCAGGGACGTCTGGGTAGAGATTCTAAACTGGCATGCTGGGGTCTTGTTCTGCTTTCTGAAGATGGGGTTGAGGAGAAAAGGAAAGAACGCACAACTCTCCATTTTTGCAATCTCTTCATAGGAAGTTTCCTTCAACAGACACAGTCCGTAAGCTGAGTGGTAAGGTTCCTGTTCTGCTTGAACTCTGGAGTTCCAGAGCAGTCCTGGTCACATACGGAGTATGTGTGATTTTAAGTGAAAGATCCAACCAGGAACAGTATCTCTGTCCTCCAAGGAGAACTGATATCCTCCAAGCCAGTACGGTGCCCTTGAATGAAGAGCATCTTTATATGTGTTTTGATGAAGGTCATGTGTATATTCAACCTGCATCTGCAGACTCTTAGACCATGTCTTGGTCCATCTAAGCCCATTTATTCCTATTGAGATCTGCAGATTTCACAGGAAAAACTCACAGATAGTTAGTTCTCTGCTTAAAGAATACCATCGTATCCACCCCGCATCCCCGAAAAGTCAGCTTGGGAAACTTCACATGAAAACTCCTAGGGGCTTAAGGAAAGATCTGATTCTGGGCACGCACGACCCAGCACCCTATCAGTCCCACTGTTGATTTAGCCTTGATACTTTAGAATTTTAAGATTCTCTCAATTTGCGAAGCATTTCAACAGTGTTAGAAAACAACCAGCATGGCCTTGTTAAACATAAACACTCTCTTTGTTATTAATGTGAAGACTTTTGTGCAAACACCATGTCTGTAACAATGACTATACATTCTATTTTCATATCTGTCTAATACCTCAGTTTACATTAAAGAAGGAAAATCCCATTGTAACTAGGTACACCCCAACTAACCCTTCCACCTTGCTTCTCCCTGTTTCTACCAGAGAGAGATTTCATTTTAATGGGTGTGGAACAAAAAACAAGGGAAATGCCCTTCTGCAGTTCTTGGAATTTATTTGTCATTAAGTTTCCGTGAATATCTTGATTATACCATCATGTTATTTAGTCTGCTCTGAATTAGGAGGAAATTTTATTTCATAACACGGGTCACCCAAAACAAGCACATCTCATCACCCATCCATAAAATGTATGTATACAAATATGGAAAATTAAATCCAGGTAGAGAATTGGTTAAACCTGAATTTTTAAGATGGAACAGGTTAAACTAGTAGAAGGAAATTTTACAGGACTTAACTATTCCTAGTTTTTAAGGTCTAAATAAGAATCTATCATTTATATCCAGTAAAGAACACCTTACATTTAAATTTGCGAATATGTTAAGAAAATTCAACGAACAAGGATAGTACGACATATTACAAGGTTATGATGGTTAAATGCATGTAAGTGCTCAGAGGCTAAGACAATTCCATTGAAAGGACAGGTGAGAAGTACATGGAAAAATACCAGTTTGAGAGGAAATTAACGAGCTGGCTATGTTAATTTTCCCCTCAAACAAGTGAGTTATCAAAAATCTAAAACTATCCATCAATGTATCTTTCCTGCATCTAAAACCATCCTGATGTATCTTCCTGTGCATTGGAGTATTTTTCAAGGAAGAGCTTCCCAAAAATGTATGTTTCTTACACACATTATCAGCAGCACTGATAATAGCAGGCTCCTTGGGTCAATACAGAGTCCCCTGATTAGTGACTTACACATGAAAGCTTAGAGTCATCCAAAGTACTTTGTGATGTGCCAATTATATAACTTAACATTCAAACTTTTATACTTTGGAAAGCAAAAGAAATTTTATTAATAACTTTATTAAGACAACACACATAATTCTGGCCCATCTTGGGAAAATCCAGACATATACTGATCTTAACCTTGATCATACAATGCCAGAGACTTCATCTTAATTCCAAAGATTTTGGGAATTCTATAATTTCCAGTGTTGGTCCTTAAGGACCCAGACCTAGCTGAGGATAAATTTGGCCCACACTGACATTTTCTTCCAGAATTACTTCATCCTGTGACAGAGGAAAGAGGTGAGAACGTGACAGAACCAGAGGGGCTAACCTGGCTTTTATAGTAAGTGCACCCCTAACACGACGACATTGATCTCCTCATGGCTTTGCTCCATTCTCAACACTTGTACAGGAGATTGCATTTCCAACATATCAAGTTTGGGGAAACATTAAAACCATAGTGTAAAAGCTGCTAGATAATTGGCCTAATTTCACACAGCTAGCAAGAGCCAGTTAAAGAACATTTGCTAACTTACGTGCTTTGAATTCAGTTTGAGACACCTCACTTTTTAGGATTGGCTTCAACCTATAGAGGCCATTTTCCTGAAAGTTTGTGTTTGTGATTGCATAGAAACATTACTGGAATTCTGATAAATTAATTCCAATCTACCATGTTCAGTGAAACCAATGGAGAGAATAAAGACACTCTAACATTTTATAGTTACAGGCAGCCACGGGGTCCTGAGTCTGGTCCAGACGGGGTTCCCATATGCCCCGGGGCCTAACCCAGTCAACTCATGAAGAAGGGAGCCGCTAGAGGGTGAGTGGTGGGGAGAATGGCAGGAATTCCACGAGCACTGTGAGCTGAGCTAGCTAGGAGGCCAGAAAGCACCTCTGCAATGTGCAGCGATATGCAGAAAGATCAATCTGCATAACACAGTTGAGGTAGCATATGATGTTTAGGGGCTGTTGCTTCACTTCCTGCTGCCTAAACTTCTGAGTCCTAGAAAGTCAAACCTCTGGATCCCAGTTGATAACCCTGGAGCACTGGCTGGGCTATCCCATTGGGCTCCCCCATTTACAGGGAAACTCTAACAGTGAGAAAACGGAGTTTCACTGTCTTCCAAGATTATACATACCTCAGCTAGCCCTACTTACACTGCTTAGAGCCAGTTGAAGGGCAAGGGATCTGGCTTAGCCAGCTCTGTGTGTATCAGACACAGCCAGATTTAGCTAAGTGGAAATAAGCTTTTCATATTTCAGGAGAGCCATCCATATGATATCCTACACCAACTTATTCAGTGTTTCAAGTGATAATCATACAAACCTTATTTATGATACAACTCATGGAGAGGAAGGAACTAAACCTCTCAGAGGAAGAAAGAAGGCATAAACACTATCCAATCACATTTAAAAGAAAGACACGATTTGGAAAAACTTACATCACTTAGTTTTATTTCCAAGACTCCACTGGGCACCTAACTGGGAATTTCCTGACAACAAAGTTTTCCCTTAGCATTGCTATACCATGTGTTAGGAGTTCTCAGAGGCGAGAGCTTTTTCTATTCATTCTGTGGGTTCCTCTGTCCCCCTGGTTGTGAGTCCTATGCTTGAAAACCTGACATTCCCCTAGCATCAAGCGTACTCTTTACATGTGGCTGCCCTGGTTGCTTTGATCTTCTAGTCCCTGTGCATCTGGCTGAAGACTAGCTGGCTGAAGGGTGGTAGGGCTGCAGTTGCACACCACGCGTAGCCCACAGCGGTTGTAGCACACTGGGTTGCACACACACATTTAAATTTCCTTCTAAGCATCACTGCACATCTTTTTTTGGGGGGGATCGAACTTATGACCTCGCACTTGCCAGGCAGGCGCTTATGTTGCTAAGCTAAATCCCCAGCCCCTCACTGCACGTCTTATACCAGCTCACCTATTTTGGATTTAGACTTCAGCTTATTCAGGCAAATAAGTTCCTGTGCTTCCTTCTGAAAGTTCATCTTCTCTACGTCTGATAGTTCATCTCTTCTTTCCGTCCCTCACCCCACTTTCTCAATCAGGTTACATCTCCTAAAAGGATTACTAAATTTTAAACAAATGCTTACAGTGGGAAAAAAAAAACTAGAAAATGATATAAATGATTCATCCAAATTTCTATCCCAGCCTCTGCCCCAGAAAATCCTGTAAAAATTAAAAAGCAAGACGAGACACACTGTTTTGAAAGGTATATAGGTTTGACTTTTTGGTATGGGTGTACACAAATTTGAATGACAGGGTTACCCATGATGCTAAGAAATTACATAAACAGGATACTTGACAAACAAGAATAATCATAGCATAGAATTGCATCATTGTTCATTAGAGCAAACAATGACCCTTATGATGCTGGGATCCTACAAGACTACATTATCATCTATTCCAAGCACAAGCACAAATACGGAACAGAACTAATGAGTTGAGATGTCATCTGAATTTCCACGGATTATATTTACAGCTCAGAATTATAGCTTTATTGAGTGGTGCCAAACATTCTTATTTTATAATAGCACTAGTGACATTTTTCTTGCATAATCCTATTTGTTTTCATTTATTTTAATGAGTTACTTTGGGATGGTAACCTGCAGTGGAAAACTTGGGAACAGGTGACAGCATGATTTGAAATCCCCTTTGAATTAAAAGCTAAACTAAATGCTTAGATGTATAGTAGTTATCCCACACTATATTTTACTCTAAGAACAGAGGCTAAAGTGCCAATTGTAGGACCCTAGGACTTTATTACCTTTTAAAACTTTCCTGCACGGATGAGAGGATAACAAGGACTAATTTGCTGCATTTTTGTGGCCTGTTTCCACATGTCTGCATTGCCCAATGGGGCTTTCTTTATGGAAAAGAGGACTGGGCACAACACATTTTTTTTCCATGAGGTGATCATATGTTTATGATTCATTAAACCCTTCAGTACGTACACACGCAGCAGTGATGCAGGAGGCTGCAGGGCATGGATACGTGCCAAGCCGTTAGGTGTCTCGGCCGAGTTGCTAATGTTGAGAACTTCAGTTATGTCACTTGAACCTCTCAACCTTTCTTCTCACTTGATGTTATAAAGCCTTCAAATCTTTCATTGCCGTAACATCTGATGCCTAGAGTGAAAGAACCATTTTAGTTTTCCTCACAGACTTAGAAGTTTTAATTCTTCTATATCAGCTAAAAATGAGAAAAATTTCTCTGTAGATCTCCAACATCTTTCTAGAGCCCAAGAAGCCATGTGCAACCCAGGTGTTTTAGGCCCTGGATGTGAAGAGCAATATGACATTTCCATCCAAAGATCCTGTTCTCAGGTTGGCCTCAACCTCCTTACGTTGCAAGAACCACTGTCTACTCAATCAACTCGGAGGCCCAGAAAGGACTCCTATTTTATGAGAATAGCTCAAGGGACAGATTATGCCAATGAACATAATTTAATATAAAGAACTACTTACTAGGTACTTAGCTACCAAACATGCCAAAATTTATCAGAGAAAGAGTTAAGATGCAGTTGCCACCTATAATGTTGGGAAACAAGAAAAGATATCCAGGAAATCTGACACTCAAGTCTGAGGGGCCCTGGCCTCACACCTTGTAGCAGGAGCCCAGGAGAAAGTCGGTCAGACCTTTCGGGGAGAGGCGACAGCTGCCTGGTGCCAGTGGAGAGGCCCATGGGTTAGTCCAGACTTCCAGGGAGAGGATGCTGCCAGCTAAGACCACCTCTCCGTAGTATTCCGTCAGTCCGGTTCTGTACATATTGGGGAAATTAGTAATTGGTATGAACTGCTGCTGATGGAGTGAACTGCCACTACTTGAACAAGGAGGTGTTGCTGGATGATACTAAAAGGAACAGACAGCAAACGGAGTCAGAGGCAGCAGGGAAAGGGCAAGAGTCCTCCTTCCCAGGTCTGCAGTCCTGCTCTGGCACACTCTTAGTGCAGCCTAACAGGGTCTAGCAGCAACAGAGAAATGACGGTGTTTTGCCGTGACACAGCATGGAGAGATGGGTTGAACGCTGAGAGACAACAGCTTCATAATATAACCTCAACCACTTCTAAGGTAAAAAAATCGACGGGGAGAGAGAGAAACCAAACATTTTAAGTGACATTCTCATGACTAATCTTAAACCTGACTTTCTATTTCTGCCACTTACCCCCATGTCAGCTCCTCTGGCTACAATTTTTTTTCTTTTTTTGTAAAATTTGAGCCAAGATTTTTCTGTCTAACATTTATGCATTGTTATTTCATAACCAGTGTCATTAATGAGAGGAATTCTTTTGGAGGGGTTTTCTTGATAGTTTTTACTTTAGAGAGCTATTTACTACTCCAACAAAGGATGCTTTCAAAGCCTTATTTTTACCTACAGAGAAAAAGCAAACTTTACTTGGGAAATGGTTTACCGTGGAGGTCTTATTTATGAGCAGAGACCACAGTAAAACTGCCGGCGTCATGCTTTGAGCTTGTGAAATCTCTGGTCAGAGGGATGTTCTACCATCCGTCCCAGGCGTGGAACAGAGCTTAGGACACGCACACTTGTGCTTTCCAACATCTCTAGAGTTCTCTATGGGCCTCGGGCCTCAGAGTTAGTAATAAAAACTGAAATCATGAAGAAAGGTCACTTGATTCTGTGTGTGTGTGTGTGTGTGTGTGTGTGTAATAGGTATCCACCCTATTACAATATTTTTTCCTTATGTATGGAAATATGCAGATGTCTTCAGACAGAAAAGCAGACACCTGAAAAATTTTTTTCTGTTGATTTTAGGTATTGAAGTGAGTATTAAGGAATGGTCAACCAGCTGCCACTTTGTTTAAACAGACAGCTCAGCAAATCCCTGGAGCAGACACTTACAGAAGAACGAGGGAAGCCAGAAGGGAGTAGCACTGTTTCCCAGTGCTTCACTCTGACAGATTAATTTGCTGTCTGGCAAGAAGAGAGGTGATCAAGTGTTCCTAGAAATAGCAATCTCCGCGGGTAGTCACCAGACTTCCCACAGGATGGTGGCCCCTTTGTGAAGGGCAGGTGTTACTTTTTTAGCTGTAGCAACGAGCTAGAACACTAGCAAGCTCTTTCAAGGAGCTCAAAAAGAATTCCTTAGGTCTCATTCCGAATCTGATTTTTAAGTGTCTAAGAAGAAAACAGTAACAAAATAACGGAAATAAAATAACAAAATAAGCAAAATAACGGAAGCAGACCCCTGAGCAAACTTTCTTTGCTTGGGAGATAATTCAGTATTAAAAGTTAGACAGTACCAAGATGTGTTAGGCTGACACAAACAATGGGGCCAGTCTTGATCTAACATGAAAATACATATACTATGTTAGTTTCTGTGTGGGTAAAAAGGTATTAGGAATTGTTTATTTTAGGTCCTATAATAAGAAATATTTTAGTTCCTGTTTTATTTCCTATATAGTGCAAGCAGTCACAGTGGAATATTTACTCTTGTATAGATACTAGGCTTATCCCAAATTTGAAGAACTACTCATCATACTCTGAAGAATAAACCCAGGACAAAGCTGCAGGCTCGATCATGGAAACAGATTCCTTGTATCCCTGTTTTCTAGTAAAGTGCTCTAAAGAAATCACAAGGTAATTCTTTAGGAGCTGCTCAAGGTCACCAAAGTTTTGCATTCAAAGAGCCACCAAAGAAGCATTCACACAGCCACAGGCCAGGCAGGGAGGGCTTTGGTGACTCTCCCTCACGAGTGCAACTAGTGGTTTAATTCTGTTAGACTGGACCCAGCTCGCCAAACCAACAGTCGCAACAGAAACCCTTGAGGCATACCTAAGACCAAATGCATTAATAAATGAAGAGACCTGCCAGTAACCTTCCCACCAACCTCAACCACACCAAATGCAAGTCCAACCAAGGATTCTCATAACTGGTTCGTGTTCTAACACCAGAGCGAGAAGAGCCATTTGCTGTGGCCAACGGTTACTCTACCTCTCCTCTGTAAAAAGCCGCGATCTTCGAAGAGCTTGCTAAAGGTCTCTGCTAAAGAACAAAAAAACACGGCTAAGGCTGATTTCCTCTCGAGTTATGACTCAGCTTGGTCACCACACTTCCACTTGGGCTATTAACATTTAGTAGCCAGAATGTCACTCTTTTCAGTCGGCTGTACAGCAAACAACAGTCTTGCTGCCTTTTAGTCATACAAAAAGCCACAAGAATATTTCCTTTTGACTTTCTTGTCTCCACATCAGACCCACACTCAAGCTAATGCTGAGATCTATCTTCTCACAATCTCCTAGAAAGTGGCCTGCCCGGGCTTGCTTACCTAGCTAAAATGAAAGGCCAGAAATAAATGGCTTAATGTTCATTATAAATTAAGGGTTCTCAGCCTTGAACCTGTCTATGCAACAGCAGAGCAGGAAAAATTTCTTTTCCAGCCATGCATAAATGGGGAGTCACATCCCTCGCAAGCAAGGACAACACAGACCCAAGCAGAAGCCCAAAGGGGACCTAACAACTGCTCAGGGACGGCTGAACCCAGAGGCAGAGCAGCCGACAGTCACCCTCTCCTGTATTTCTTCATCTCATTCTAGCAACAGCAACAAAGGAAAGACTTCAAGTCTACAGGATTAAAAAAGAAAATAACAATAGAAAAGCTACATTGTTTCTCTTGGTCTTTCTTGGAGTTCTGAAGATCGGCTCTTTATGGATGATGATCTCCTTGTGCACCTTAAGAATTTCGTGAGGCCTGGCCTGGGAACATAGTTCAGTGCTGACACTCTCCTTCGTGTAACAAGGTCCTGAGTTTAATCACCTGTACTGCAACACTAAAAATAAAATAAGATACATTTTATGATACTTTTGCTTTGAGGTTTAACTATTATTAGTGTTGTTACTATGTTACTTATGACTCTATTAATATAAAAATAATAGTTAAACTTTATTGAGCTTTTCCTGTGTGCCAAGCCCCATAGTCAGCAGATTAAAAACATCTCTTTTCGTCTCACAACCATGTTATGTATCAGATATGAATATGGTCCCTAATTAAAAATTAGGAGCCTAAAACACGAAGAGGTGAATTTATAAGAGGTCAAACTAACAAATGGGAGAGCCGAGGTATAGCTCCAGGCCCTGTGTCCCCAGACTGCCTTCTGTTATCCACCGCAGGACAGCCCTTCTCCCTTTAAAACACTGAGCTGTTGGAGGCTCAGCAAACCCAAATGCTTGGCTCCAGGAGCAGAGCAAAGCAGTTGTTAGGTTCCCACTGCTGGCTCTGCCAGGGTGCCTCCTCCGAGTTTCCTGATTCCATCCCCGATCCCTTTGTTCTAGGAATTACTTTGCCCCTTGTGGAGTGTCCCTCTCACTCCACACTTGCTTCTAGTCCCCTCATCCTGCCCAGGTTGCACCTAAAGGTGCAACTCACCTGCCACCTACAGAAGCTTCTCCAACTCCTGCAGCTTCTAACTCTGAATTCCTAAGAAACGTAAAATTTATACTACTGACTTGACATTTATTTTCAACTTTTCCCTGTTAGTTTTGTATCTGAAAGTAATTTATCTCCATCCTGAGTTTTATTCTGAGCCCCTTTCTCCATTAATTATGAGATCCTCATAAGCAGAGACCACGCATTAAAACACCTGTATGTGTCCACACACTGAACTCAGCACCTGGGACCTGCCGGGCAAGCAGTGGCCCCTGAGGGCCGGTGAGCAGACTCACAGCAGCCTGGAGTGTGGAAAGGAGCTGAAGCTCTGCTCCTCATTACAGTCTAAGGAGTCTCTTCGGGGGCACAAAAGGGTCCTCCACCCTCACGTCTCAGCCTCTCCCAGAGGGTCCTGACACCCCCGAATTCCAAAGTAAAACTCTGCACAGCCTCAGGAGACCCTGAAAAACAAGGCCCACTTTTACTTGCAGGTTTCACTCGCCTTCACACCTGTGGTTTCAAAGGTGTCGAATTTCCTCTGAAGTCTTTCAGAGAAGCTTCGCGGTCTATCCTGGGTTTTCTACCCTGCCAGTCATCTCTGTCAGCAGCGACAACGTGCTTGTCAAACAAAAGTCACTTTAGCTATCAATTTTCAGTTGTCTTTTAGGTAGGATAATCCCTGGCTCCTACAAAACTTGTTTCCTTTCTGGTGACTGCGAGTGCCTTTCATTTAGAGTTTCCG